ATCCCCCTTTTTTTCTGGCCCGCCGACCGCAGACTCGCGGATTTTGAATCGGGACTAACTGGGGAACCCCGGCGAGATTGTCGAAAATTGCGATCGCGAGACTCGCGATGCCGAGAGACAATAGGTCTCTTTTATTTTTTCTCTTCTCTTTTTTGTTCAGAAACTTGTTACTCCGCCGGGAAAAAGGCGACCGCCAATTACGAGTTACGTGGCTCATCGGAGCAGTCGTGCGTGACTCACGGGGCCCGAGGAACGTCGATGTTAACCCGTTAACCGGGGAACACGGGTTAACTCGCCATTTGTATTCAATTGGGAGTCGCAGTAATTTTTCAATTTCTTATTTATCCAGCTCGTGTGTGCCGCGAATAAATGGAGCGTTAACCCGTGTTGTACCCGGGATATTATTTACCGTGGATCCGCCGAGGGGAATTTCTAATTCGAACGATGGTGCATTCGCGATCATCCGATACGATTCGGCATCGTGCAACTGAGAACAGTCTGTCCGTGGAATTACTCGCTCGCTTTAAATTCGATACGCGCGTTTATAGCCGGGAAATTACCCGATCGGCGAGCTGAACGGCAACAGTTACGCCTCGCAATGAAAGTTTCGCGAACGCTTCGAGGGAGCCGCCCGGTGGTTTGATAAATGAAATCTCGATTGAAAAACTACAGGGAACCAGCGGGGGAGGGGGGTATTTCTATTTGCTAGGAAACTTTGATCGTCGTCGGAGGGATGGGCTCGCAAAAATAGCTGGCCCGTTGGGAACGGGACGCGTGTAGGCGAGCTTGTGTCTGTGAATGACGTTTAGTGCTCGTTACCGTCCCGCCTAGAAATGCGCGAATGGTTGCTCGGCTGGACGCGTTCCGCGTAGCCGATGGAATTACGAAGCGGCGGGGGGAATTAAAAATATAAAACAGTCGATGTTGTTTGCCCTCGTTTTTTTTCCCATCCGGTATCGAATGACGAAATATGGTGGATCGTGAGAGAAGCAGGTGGCCCGGATTCCGTCCGGTTCCATGAATTTTCGCGGAAAAGCTCTCGTTACGCGTTACAGGGGCAGACAGGCGTTCAACGCTGGAACAATCGCAGTGAAATTAATTATTCCCTCGTAAAAATGATGAAAATGCGGTTATCGAGAATTCATTCCACTTGTGCTTCAGTTTGGGTATGCCTGCCGTTAATTCGTTCAAGGATTCCCAGGAAAATAGCTGTACCTTTTTGATAACTGTGGAAAAAGAAATTCGAAATGGATCATTTTGACTTATCCGGTAGATATAGTGTTACTTCTGTCGATCATTCGGTACAGGATCAACGTACACCTGTTTTCTGCATTAAACTAGCCGACGCGAATTCACTTAGGTTTTAGTTTGGGTATGCCTGCAATCAATTCATCCAACGATTTGCAGGGAAATGATCGTGCCTTTCCGGCATCTATAATCAAAGGAGCTAGAAATAGCTCATTTCGACTCATCCAGCAGCTCTAATGTTATTTCTATCGATCATTCGGTGATACGGTGCATCAAACGAGCGCGAATC